CTTAATCTGATGGACTGAGAGCCCCAACAAGGAGGACACGTGTGTACCCTCAGTCTTGCTTGAAGCACCTTCGCTGCTTTGGAACTATCTCACCTGAAAGCGTGAGGCTGGCAATGACCACTTTTCTTAGGAGTGGGGTTGGTGTAAGGAAATTTTGTTTTCCTTAACGAGGTTCAATAATTTTTATACAACCCCATTTCTCTAAAGTGCTTACTCGGCTGTTGTTTTGGACCTTAAGACTTTCTCGGGTCTCCTTCGGTCTTCTCCTGCCCAACTTGTATCCAAAATTGCGATCCCAAGATTCCCGCCTAGCTAGGTTAGCTTGCTATATGATTTCATGTCTATTAAATCGTAAGTCCATACTGTCACAGCTTCGGTAGTCATGCAACTCTGTTAAACAGCTCATAACAATAAGATTCCAATATCCTTCTGTCTACAAGATAGCTATACACTTTTCAATGCAGTCTAAGATAAGACATATTATCCCCCACACAGTACACCCTAGGGTAGAGATAATTACCCCCCGTCCACCCCCTCCCTTTGCCCCCCCTGATGTAAAGTTACACTACTGTAGCAACTTGATAGAGCTTGGAAGCACGATTTCAACGCATCAAAGATTCTAGGAAACAGTCAACGTTAGCCAAAGATACACACAAATAATTAAGTGGTATTGACTTAGCTGATTTCTGGTTTGTGCCATCTGGTTCTAAATACTAGCAGAACAGACACAAAATGAAGCGTCGACCCCAGTCGTATACTGAATTTCAACGACGAAAATTTTCAAACCTTGAATTTTGTCGGGCAAATTTCCGTGACTGGAATTCCGTAGACGAGCATTTCCACAACCAATGTCATCGACCACTGAAATGTAACTCGTGAATTTCGTTGACTTCAACACTTCACTAACTCAATCCAACACACCCTTTGACTAATCTCGCCAAATTGTCCTCAAACTGTCCTGAAAATACTCTTTTGGGAATAGTTGAGTTGGAAGGTGTCAAGACTGAATCTCGTTTGCACCGTAGGCAGCGCCCTTGCAGAAACTATCCTAAATTTGACCTAAGACACTTTCACGAGAAATTGAAGGTCACTGGCTCAAATTCCAGCTCCAGCACTGCATTAATCATAGTAGCATTTCTGTCTAGAACACCCCCTTGCTAAATCAGCCCGGCTGCTGCACAGCATGGCTGACGGCTGCCTTGTCGCGCCGCTTCGTGAAGTCGTCTGCCTGTTGCACCATTGTAGGGATGTGCTACAGCTCCAACGTTTCATGCGCCCCATGTCTTGCAGCAACATGTGGTGGCAACCATGCTTCATGCGCCCCTGCAACCCGCCTGCATGACTGAGCTGCACAGCAACCATGCTGTCCACTTACAAGGTGGTGGGGATGCCATTTGAGCAGCTGAAACTTCCATGGCAGAAAAATTCAACTTGCGCCCCACCGTGCCTGCTTCCACCATAGCCACAAATTTGGTCTTCATGGAAGAGAACTTGGTCGCATCCTACAGCTTTTTGGCTTGCCAAGAGACCGCAGCTCCATCAGTCTCCTATCTGATTCTCCTTGACACCAACATCATTGGCGCATACCCTATGAGGTTCAAGCTCTCTGATCCTCCCTTGAACAACAGTCTCGTGCTCGGTGAGGTAGCCTGTAGGAGATGGTGTGGAAGAGTTCGTGCCATTGAACATCAGTTTTCAGGTCAGCCTGCCTTGCATCCTACTTGACAAAGCTGTCATAGGAGAATGGGGTGATGGGCTGCTTCTTTGGTCGCGCCACTTTCAAGAGCCTCTGCTATACCTTTGCTATATATGCATTTTGGTCAAGAAACCAGTTTCAGTTGGGGTGGACACGCACAATCTGCATCCCAAGGTAACATTCCACTAGTTCCACATCATAGAGTTGGAATACCTTGGCCGACCCTTCAGGTTTTATAGCAATTGCTTGTCTTCGCTTGCTGCTAGCATGCCATCCATGTAGATGAGCAGCCACATTTGCTTCCAACTTTCCCCACCCTTGTAGTATAGAGCCTGGACCACAAGGATCTTCCTCTACCCCTCTTGAAGGAGCACCTTTTCCAACTCCTTATACCATAGAAGAGGACTATGCTTCAGCCCATAAAATCTCATCAGCAAGAGGCATACCTTGCTGCTACCATTAGTGAAGAAGGGAGGTTGGTGCATGTAGATCTCGAGATCAATGGTGCCCTGAAGACAGGCATTCTTCACATCAAGTTATAGCAAATCCAGGTCCATAGTTACTGCGATTGAGAAGAGCACGCAACCGGTGGTGTAGCTGCCAACAGGGCCGTAGGTGTCATCGTAATCAATGTCAAAGCGTTGGCTAAAGCCCTTGGCCACAAGCCTTGCTTGTACTTCTCCACACTACCATTAGGTCGTAGTTTCTTTTTCAGCAACCACTTGACGCCGACAAGGCATGTCCACGTGCCTTGCTCGTCAAGGCTCTCCATCTCGTCCTTCATAGATGCCCACCACTCCTTGCATTCAGGTTTGGTAAGAGCTCTTGTCAGGTCGATGATGATGCCTCCGCAAGCCCCTTCCTCCTCATCTTCGTTCAGGTACTCCACTTTGTCGTCGCTGTCCGTGTTGCAGTAATTCTCAGCAAGGAATAGCATGTCGTACTTGTCACTATCGTCCATATCCTAGGCTGTCATGTGTGATGCGGGAAACCTTACGGGTGGTACCCCCATGTTGGCCCTGTTGGAATGACGTGGAGTTGGAGAAATGAGCTGGATGAGAGGGTTGCGGGTGTTGGCTCCTTTGCATGGGCCGGTGATGACCGCTCATCCTCCGTTATATCTCCTTCATCCTCGTGATCAGCCGTGTCGCCTCCATTCTAGGAGACCATTCTCTGATCCGATGGGCGCAAAATCAGCAGCTAAGGATGGACAGGGAGTTGGTTACCTTGCTGCCTACAGGGTTAACCGAATTATCAAACAGTTGCTCGCCCCCTTGCACGGACAGCACCGGCAACACGATGATGGTACGTGGCGGCGGCTGATTCTGCTCAGGTTCATGGACTAGTCCAAGAACCTCCCCTATTGCTCGTCATGCAGCGGAAGTGTTTGACGAGTGAGTTCGGCATTTGTAGTCTGCTTGTCCATTCAAATGGCCCCTTGTCTCCTTTCCAATGTTGGCAACCTTAAGGAGCCTCCACCTAAGCATCAAGCATGTAGAACAGTGCCTGGAGCTCTCATACAGACAGCCTTCCTGGCCTGTGGCATCAACAACGCGCTCAATGGCTCCCACAATGGTCTGCGCATTCGGCACCGTTGAAAGGATGAATCTGTTTGTGTCGACGTGAACGACAAAGTGGGGACGGATGCCTTCTTTGGGAACATTGTGGAGGAGACGGACTCGCATGGGGAGGACAAGGACCTAAACGACCCCACCGCTGAAGGCAACGACTACTAGTGTAGACACTCCCGTCCCATGCTGGCGATGAATACTAGTGTAGTGCAGGAATACTACGGGATATACTAGGCTAGCCAATGTGAAGAATGAGGAAAATGAAGAAGAGGGAGAGGGGTTGCACTAGCAGCAGTTGGCATACATATAGGAAACCCTAACTGGGTTGTACTCGCTATAGAGTACCCCACTGCAGGCTAGACAATAATAGCATTCTGACAGCCAACTAGTAGTTGTGACTCCTTGCATTATTTGATGCATGGGCTTGTAAAAGGAACCAGGGGGGTGGGCTTATACGAAAGGTGGTACATATATAGGGTGGGCTTATAATTGGTCACAGGATATAAGTGCACCAGTCAAGGTATAAGAGCATGGGGCTTCTATTCGGGGATGACGGCAAGGTTAGATTATGAAGTTCAATAAAAGGATGTGCTCATAACACAAGCCAATTGGATTGCGATTATGATTGAGGTTTGGATATTAGCACAGTGCGTCGGGTGTGTAAGCACTTGCGCCTATCCAAAACCTGCGCATGGTTGTACCATATGCGAGGTCAGAATGTATGGTAGCCAAAGCTTCCAGTCAGGTTTGAGACAGGCATAAACCATAGGCAACACATCTACGGTACAAAAGACAAACGCATTTTGCCACCTAATTCTCGTAAACATAACTCACTAAAGCAACCTCATGAAGTTAACAGTAGCTATGAGAGACTCAACTCACTTTATGCATATACAGCGCTACATAATTTGACCTCCAGCAGCGCACCCACCCAACCACCCATCTTTTAGAGCATTTTGGGGCTGCATCTATGCTCCCATTCGGAAAACCAGGGATCTCCAAATTATTCCCAAAGTATCACCCTTAGCACTCAGATAATCAAACTACTAGTCTAGTATTCTATACCTGTTACAGTCCATCACTGAAGGACGAAGCATCATGTTGGGCATAAGCAAACTGAGGTCCTGTCCGACTGTGTAAGCACGTTAGAGGCAGCGCCAGGCCAGACCTAGCCAGCACGGCAGATGCAGAAGCAGCCTTCAGGAGGTCAGTTGTCGCAGAGTCCTTTCTAAAGCTTGACTTTGTCGGGGAGGCACACGCGAGTTGATTTGACGAGCTTGTCGATGCAGTCGTATCCGTTGACTTTTCTGTAACAGCCCTTGATGCCCCGGAAGTACTTCACCTGAATGGCCGTGCACCTGTCGCCTGTCCCCACCACATACGCATTCGCACGCGGACACGAGCCCTGAGTGTACGACGTGGAGCTTGCAATGCATGCCTGGGGGGTGGGGGAAGGGGAGGGGAGGGGTGGAGGGAAGAAGAAAATAATAACAGAGTAAAAAAGGACAGTCACAAGGTAGACAGTAGGCTAACAGTCATGAGGGAACCAGCTAGGCAATACGCATGAGGGAGAAGACAGCCGGTTTATTGATAGAGAGGACGAAAGGTTGATTCACAAGGAAAGAGATGTATGAGCAGAGCTGGTGCCACACATGCACCTCAAAGCCAGTGAAGCCGTCGACATCGGTGTTTGGAATGAGACGGTCGCACTCGATGCCGGGGTTGAGACGGAGTTAGGCACCCCGGCATTGAGGTCCCTCCTTGGGAGTTAGAGGGGGGTAAGGCATGTTGCAGATGGACTCGCACGTTTCTGCGCTCTGCACCAGGTAGTACTGTGAGCACACTAGGATGAGCCCCACATTATCCTTTTTGCGCTCCACACACACTGTCTTCCCGGGCTGCAGCAACCCACCGTTGGCATCGCAGTCCAAGCTGGGGTTGAGCGCCTGGAAGGCAGGCAGGCAGCTGGGAGGGTCCCACATGCAGGACCAGGCCACTGTGAAGTATGTGGCTAGGTCCGCACAGGTGTCACCCTGAGAATGAGATGGCCAGGGAGGAGGTGGGAGGCACGGGAAGCAGGAGTGAGAGAGTGGGGCCTCCACCGAATAAAAGGAAGTGAGATGAAAGAAATGCTGTGAAGTCAGAAAGTGGCTGTTAGAGTGAGATGGAGGAGGGTAGGAGGAGGAGTGGCACACTAGGATAGGTGCAGAGGGGCAGATAGAAGAAGACCAGGAGAGTGGCGTATTGGCAGGAAACTGCAAGGTGGGGACCTGCTGAGTGCTGTAGTAGACAGTGCAGGGGATGAAAGATGCTGGGTTGGCCACGTTGAGCACAGTGGCTAGTGGGATGGGTGCTGCACACGACACCGATGGCTGCACACACCCAGGGAGAGGCATGAGAGACACCCCATGGCACATGGGAAGGCAGGAGCTTGTGAGTGCGTTGCAGGGCAATTGATCCTAAGAATCTGCTTGCGTCATTTTTTAGCTAGTCTTAAAAATTGCAGGAGCTGCACGTTTTGAGTTTGGAATTCAGCGAGCGTGAAGCCGTAGGTCGGGAAGACATCGGAGCAGCAGACGTTGGAAGAGAGCACGGTGTAGGTGTTGCTGGTATCACCTGCATGCAGCACAGCAAGCAGCACAACAAACAGCACAGCAAGCAGCACAGCATGCAGCACAACAAGCAACAGCATGCAACATAGAATAACAGAATGTTCAACAAAAGAGAGTAAGCAGGAGGAACACAGAACACACAACACGACGTGCTTCTATTCAATTTTTATTACTATGTTCTCAATCCTTGTTGTGGTGCGATGCATCTGTAATGGAGCACGGCGAATTTTGAAAGTTGCAAATCTGCACAATAACTATACCATGTACTTGATTTCCATGCCAAACAAGGCCACGAGTATAATCTCCAACTGTTTGTGGGTACTCAGTGAAAAATTGAACCCAAGGCTTGGCTTGGTGTCCCTCTCCTTTCCCATAGTCGTAAGTTTTCATGCCAATGTGATGGTTCCGTGTCCTTAAACCCTTGGAACCTCACAACCACTCACGGGTGCCGCATGCTGGCAAGTTCCTGTGACCGAGATGGCCCAAGTGTATTATGTGCCCTTGTACCCTTAAGAAGCGCATTATGTGCTAAGGCACAAGTCCGTATTTCCATTACTAGTGATTGAGAGTACACCCTCATGGCACACAACAACACAAAAATAGGTACCTGGGGCAGTGGAGAAAGTACCTCGAGCATTGGAGAAGCTAGCTTAGCTGGAGCATAGGAGAAGGTACCTGGAGCACAGGAGAAGGTACTTGGAGCACAGGAGAAGGTGCCCTCGACAGTGGTGCCCTGCCTGAAGCCCGGTGGACACACACACGAGTACGACCCCGGCCCGTCATTCACACACGTGCCCACTGCACATGGATTGCGCTGGGCTGCCTTGCATGCATCCTCAGGTGAGGGGCGGGGAGGAGAGAGGGGAGGGGAGGGGAGGGAGGTGAGGGGTGGGAAGGTGGGGAGGGAATGGTTGAGGAGCGCGAGGGAATTGGAGGAACGAGAGAACACAATGGGTTGTGGGAACGGTGAGTTGAGACAAGTAGTTGTGCTCCTGAGAGGGTTTCAATTCAACTTGTGATAACATCAGGTGGCAGCGGCGGCAGCAACAGAAGCAGCAGATCCAGCAGCAGCAGCAGCAGCAGAGGCTTACTGTAGGCGCATGTGCGAGAGCCATCAGCGTTGGTTGCTTGGATGAAGCGTGGGTCGTTGCAGTCACACTCGTTTGTCTTGCCCTTTACATTGCAAGTGAATTTGCCGCACGGATTGAAGAGTGAACCACCATTTCCATCACCACGGGCGTCTTTGCTGCAAGTAGAAAAAGAACCGGCCAAGAAGGCACAAAAGCAAAACAGGTGGGTCCACAAATTAGCAGAAGTGGGTTTTGAAACCTGAGATGGTGTTCAAGTTGAACATGTGTGCTAGAAGAACACGAATTCAATCACTCGTGACCATGCACTCACTCACTTGTGACCGTGCACTCATCTTTCATCTTATACTCTCCTCTCACCATGCACTCACCATTGGTTGGTACAACACTCACCATTGATTGATACAACACTCACCACTTGTTGATATAGCAATTTCCTCTAACCATGCACTTACTCACCTCTGACCACAGGGTAGAGGCCTGGCAGCGAGTTGATGCCGTACACGCCATCCCCCCCCTATATGTCCATGCGCATGTGGCCCCCATCACCCCAGTCAGGCCCCCATGAGTTGCGGATGATCCAGAAGGGCGGCGCCATGTGGGGGAAGCGCGAGTCCTTGCCCACCAAGCGGTAACCCACCAGCAGCACCACGTGGTTCAGGTTGTACGTGAAGCACGCTGGGCCCTGGTACTTGTACACCTGGGGGATGGGATGAGTGGGTAAGCTAGGGCAAGGTAATAAGTGGTTTGCCATGTGCATATGATAGGCCATCATGTGTATGGTAAGGGAGGGTTGAAAAGAACAGGAACAGACAATGATATCTCTTCTCCCCTCCACCGTACATCACCTCACACCTCCTCACAAACCCAACCCATCCCTTCCAACACAAGCAGCTGGCACGCCGGTGTGAGTACAACAGCGAAGGGAGACCTTACGAAGCTCACGCCCATTTAACACTAATTCTTTTCTTAACTCGGTAATCTAGTTTGAAACAGCTATGTCGACCATTATACTGCAAGCAACTAGTATTGCTAGCAATTTCAAGACGATCCTAGCAGCCGCAATTTCAGGATGATTCTAGCAATACGGATTGCTAGCAATTTCAGGACGATTCTAGCAAAACGGATTACCGAGGGAGTTATCCGCATCAAGTATTGCTGAAATTATTTTTCCCTCTGAGCATTCTACCTCAACTGAAAAGTTTTTCCCCTGCCCGAAGTATTTTTCGACCTGCCTGACGCACCGTATTTCACGGTTTTCTGTACACTGGAAAATAGTGTATTGCGTATGTGCAATAACGTACAGTTCGTACGCGTACTGTACGCCATGTGCGTATTTTCCAACATAGCCATTTACTCGCACCCTCCCATTCATTCACACCCACACTGCTCGCCTCACCCCATTGTAATCCTTGAACGAGTCGGCTGATGCCTCAATAAGCACCACCACTGGCTGCCGCTGCACAGCCAGCAGCAGCCCAAACCAGCCGTAGAAGGATGTCATCTCGAAGCCCTTGATGGGGAATGGAGTGGGGAGCTGCTTGGAGATGGGAAGGGAAGGATGGGAGGACTAGAGAACAAGAGAGCTTTAGCATGGAACAGCATGCACCCAGTCTGGAACGAACTTGAGCAGCACAGGTAACAACTGCTCAAAAAGTGAAGCATCATTTCCTTAAGTCTATCTGCCTCTCTGTACTAAGCTATCACAAGCCCCTTTACTTCACTCACACGTGGGTTCGAAGTGCCATTGCCGCACGACACACCGAGCAGCTTTGCGAGTGGCTTCAGCAACGGAGAGCAGAGAGGATTGCTGCTGCTGCCTACCTTCACGACATCCTTCTTGCCTTTCTCGGCCGACCCCTGGCTTTCCAACATGAGCCCTCTTCCTTTTTGCGCCAGCTTGAGCAGCAGCTGGAAGGCCTGAGAGGGCGTGCTACCAGAGCAGTCAGCCTTCATGGCGGCCTTAAGCTGCTCCACTGACAGCAGCTGCACTGGTGCAAGGTTGGCCATTATGCCGTATGCCGCCTCGATACTGCCCACCACTGTGTACACCCTGCAAGGCAATGCATACATCAAACACATGGGTCGTGCAAGTTGTATAGAGAAAACACGTGGACGGCATAGGACTTTTGAGTCAACTCAAAAGTCAACAATATTATCACAATGCAGCTGCAGCAAGGTAGCCCTCACTGTCAAACTTATATGCTATAGTCTGTGTAGGATGTAGTGGGGTAGACAATATAGGTTACAACACTTTTCGGTTTTCCTACTTGTACCCACCTGTTTGCCAGTGCATTCATTCCTCGTTCTTTCACATGGTATAGAGCAGGTTCCCTAGTGGGAACGTTTCCTAGGGCCCACCGAAAATCGACTTTTTTTTTCCTGCCCGTAGCGCGCTTTGCCCGTGCCCGAGTCGCGCCCCGATTGCCTGCCCTCCCATTGCGTCCCCTGCCCTTAGCGGCCCGTCGCGCTCCCTTACGCCCCCGTAGCGGCCCCTCTCTCAGCCCCTCACGACCCCTTTCACGGCCCTTCGCGGCCCCTTCGTGGCCCCTCGCGGCCCCTTCGTGGCCCCTCGCGGCCCCTTCGTGGCCCCGTCGCCGCCCTTCGCGGCCCCGTCGCCGCCCTTCGAGGCCCCTCGCGGCCCCTTCTCGGCCCCGTCGCCGCCCTTCGCGACCCCGTCGCCGCCCGTCTCGGCCCCGTCGCCGCCCTTCGCGGCCCCGTCGCCACCCTTCTCGGCCCCGTAGCCGCCCTTCGCGGCCCTTCTCGGCCCCATCGCCACCCTTCGCGGCCCCTCACGGCCCCTTCGTGGCCCCGTCGCCATCCTTCGCGGCCCCTTCATGGCCCTTTGTGGCCCCTTCACCGCCCTTGGCGGCCCCTTCTCGGCTCCCTCACGGACCTGCCGCCCCGCCGTCGCCGCCCCTGCAGCAGCACCCAACGCCACTCCAGCAGCAGGAGCCGCCACCATCGGTGCCGCCGAGAGCAGGCAGCCGCCGCCGCCTCAACAGGGGCCCCATCCGCTGCAGCAGCCTACAGTAGCAGCACTCGTCGACGGCAGCAGCCGCAGCCGCGACAGCCGGGGCCGCAGCCGCAGCCTGCAGCTGCCGTCGCCGTCGACAGCACAGGCCGCCGCCGCTGTCCCGGCCCTGCCCTGCAGAGCGGAGCGGCGCTCCTTTGCCGCCCTGTAGCGGCCCCGTCCCTGCCGACGCGCCTCGGCCCTGCCCCACCACTTGCTGCACTCTACCCACCTGCCCTGGTAAGAGCACCACCGAGCCACGCCCCTCATGTTGCTACTACTGCTGCTGCCCCTAGCCTGCTGCCACTACTGTCATGGCTACCCCTAGCGTTCTCGCCTTTGATGCTGAGGGTCGGGCTGTTGACTTTGAGGTCTGGGTCGATGATCTACAGCTTTTCCTACAGTGCGATAGGAAAGACGGTCTCTCACTGTTCCATCTCACGTCTAGCGCCTCTGCTGCCCCTACTGCCGATGTTGACAGCACTGTTCGCTCACTGTGGGCCACATGCGATGCTGCTGCCCGTCTTGCTGTGCGTAGTCACCAGCCGTCCACTGAGCGCGCGCACTTTAGTCAGTACAAGAGTGCTAAGACCTTGTAGAACGCTGTTGTTGCACGCTACTCTTCCCCTGCCACTGCTGCCCTTAGCCGCCTCATGCTGCCGTACCTGTTCCCCGACCTCGCCGCCTTTCCCACATTCGCTGACCTCATAACGCACCTTCGCACTAGTGACACCCGCTACCGCGCTGCGCTTCCTGCTGAGTTCTGCGCCAAGAACCCCCCCCCCCCCCATGTACATCACTCTCTACTACATAGTCACCCGGCTCCCTGACTCCCTTCGCTCAGTCAGGGACCACTTGCTCTCTGTTTGCCCCACCACTCTCACCGTTGACCTCCTTGAGGAGCACCTCCTGGCAGCTGAGAAGAGTATAGTCGCTGTAGGAGCCTCTCGTGGTGACCCTCGTGCCCCCTTCTTTGAGGGGTGCTCCCCCTCCCCCCTTTTTCCCTCTACTGCTGCCGTCGACTTCGTTGGCACCGATTAAGTCTGCGCTGCGTCTGCCCCTAGCGGGAGACGCCACACCGGCAAGGGCAAGGGGGGCAAGGGAGCTGGAGGGGATGGTGGGGGCGGTGGAGGTGGCGGTGGAGGCACCGGAGGGAGTGGGGGTGGTGGTGGGAGTGGTGGCGGGGGTGGGGGCTTCGGTGGCGGCGGTGGAGGCGGAGGCGGCGGCGGCGGTGGCGGTGGGAGTGGAGGAGGAGGCGGTGGCGGCGGTGGTGGAGGTGGTGGCGGCGGAGGTGAAGCTGGTCGGGGTGGCTTGCGCAGCGAACGACTTCGGTGGTGGTCAGCACCAGCAGCAGCAGTGCACTCCTGACACCTCGCCCCCCCAGCAGCTTCGTGAGTGGTACGCTGCGCGTCACCGGGGTGGGGGTGTTGGTCCTTGTGCCTACGTCCTGCGTACTGGCGACCGCACTGGTGAGCAGTGCGGTGGCCCGCACACCACCCAGCGCTCCTTCGGCCGCCTGACGGACGCTTGGCGTCTCCAGTTCCCTGACACCACTCAGATCCCCCGCTGGGGTGAGCTACTTAGGTCGGGGGTTGCTATCTTTGATCTGGATTATGATGCCATTCTTGCTGCCATGTATGTTGTGTCTACTAGTGATGAGGGTGACTGTTACCTGTGTGTTCCTCTTGACCCGGGCATTGAGGCTGCTGCTCGAGGTGCTGGTGTGGCTGCTACTCTAGGTGCTAGTGCGTCTGCTGCCCCAGGTGCTGGTGAGTCTGCCCTCTCAGGTACCACGTCGACTCAGGCCTTACACACCTTCACCCTTGACTCGGGTGCTTCCCGCTCCTTCTTTCGAGACCGCACCACACTTACGCCGCTAAGTCGGCCAGATGCGGTCTCCTGGCGGACCCCTCTGGGGGTCCTGTCCTTGCCCGCTTCTCCACTGTCTTACCGTGTCCGACAGCCCCCTCTGGCACCCTGTCCGGTCTCTACCTCCCCTCGTTCGCTACGAACTTGGTGAGTGGTGCTGATCTACAAGATGGGGGGGTTGACCAGTTCACTCGTGCAAGTCAGCGGGTGACCCACTGTACGTGTGCTCGGACGAGCCGACACTTGGCCACATTTACCCGTCAGCCGAGGTCGAGCCTGTACACACTGACTACTGAGTCTCCTCCAGTTGCTGAGTCTGGTCTGGTAGCTGCGTCGGGTCAGGTGTTTGCTGCGTCCAGGTATGGTCCTGAGTCTGCTCCCTGCTCGTGTCGTCTCCTGTCCCACCGGACTCTCCTCTGGCACCACCGCCTTCGTCACCCCTCCCTGCCTCGTCTCCGAGGCATGGCTTCCCGTTACCTTGTCTCTGGTCTCCCCCGATCCCTCCCTCCACTCCCTCCGGGGCCTGCCCCTACCTGCGTTCCCTGTGTCGAAAGGCAGCAGCGCGCCGCCCCTCACTCCTCCGAGTTTCCTCCGACAGAGGCTCCACTGCAGACTCTTCACATGGACGTGTGGGGCCCCGTCCGCGTCCATGGCCAGGGTCACGAGCGTTACTTCCTGTTGGTGGTTGAAGACTACTCGCGTTACACCACGGTGTTTCCCTTGCTCAGAAAGGGTGACGTCACTGAGGTGTTGATCGACTGGATCCGCGCAGCTCGTCTCCAGCTTAGAGAGAGTTTAGGCTCGGACTTTCCTGTTCTGCGTCTGCACTCTGACAGAGGCGGGGAGTTTTCCTCTGCTCGTCTGGAAGCCTTCTGTTGTGCACAGGGCATCTACCAGACGTTCACGCTTCCGGCCTCTTCACAGCAAAATGGAATTGCTGAGTGCCGCATTGGCATGGTCATGGACGTTGCTCGTACATCCATGATCCATGCGGCTGCTCCCAATTTTCCGTGGCCGTCTGCGGTTCGGTACGCAGCGCATCAGATCAACCTTCAGCACCGGGTCTCCTTGCCGGAGACCTCCCCCACCTTGTGGTGGACGGGGAAGGTTGGCGATGCGTCTGTGTTTCGTGTCTGGGGATCCCGGAGGTTTGTCTGCAACTTGTCCGCGGACAAGCTGTCCCCCCGTGCTGTTCCCTGCGTCTTCCTTGGCTTCCCCGGTGACGCGCCTGGTTGGCAGTTTCACCACCCCACCTCGCGCCGTGTTCTGTCCTCCCAGGATGTCACCTTTGACAAGTCGGTGCCTTACTACCGTCTCTTCCCCTACCGCACTGCGCCCCTCCCCCCGCCGTCGCTCTTCCTTGCGCCAGGTCCCCCCCGGTAGACCCTCATCCCCCTCAAGGTCCTGCCCCGTCAAGTGTGTCCTAGGTAGACGCAGACGAGCCTGTCAACGTGGTTGTTGACTTAGGTGCTGCTAGGGGTGCTCAGCCTGGGGGTGCTGAGCCTTGGGGTGCTGAGCCTTGGGGTGCGGAGCCTGGGGGTGCTGAGCCTGGGGTTTCTAAGCCTGGGGGTGCTGAGCCTGGGGGTGCGGAGCCTAGGTGTGCTGAGCCCGGGGGTGCTGGGCCTAGGGGTGCTGAGCCTAGGGGTGCGGAGCCTGGGGGTGCTGAGCCTGGGGGTGCGGAGCCTAGGGGTGCTGAGCCTGATCGTGTGGCCTCTAGCGGTGGTGGGTCTGGGGGTCCTTTGGGTGCTTCGTCTCGGCGGGAGCTACCCTCTCCACAGGAGCTGTGCGAGTGGTCTGCCACGCGGTGGAGCTGTGCTGTTGGAGCTGGAGGTGCTACTTTTGCTGCCGACCCCGGGGTCGGCGCTGGAGGTACTGGAGACCCTGGTCCTCGAGGTGCTCGTACTAGCGGTACTGGAGCTGCTAGGACTGGGGGTGCTGCTGGTGCTACTGGAGTCGGTCCCGCTGGAGGTGCTGCGGGTGGTGCTAGAGGTACTAGAGCTGCTAGGAGTGTTGGCGCTGGAGGTGCTTCTTGCACTGGTTCTTCTGCGGGTACTAGAGTTGGCGCTGCTGGAGCTAGAGGTGCTGCTGGCGCTGGTGCTGCCGCTGGGGGTACTGTAGCTGTCCGTGCTGTTTCAGGAGGCGCTGAGCGGCCGAGGCCGTACTTCGTTCCGCTCCTTGAGCAGGTTCTTGGTCTCTCGCCCTCTCCTGGTCCTGCTCCTCCCTTAGGGTATCCACAGCCTGTCATGTCGCACCCACAGTTACAGCCCGCCTCCCCCCTGCCTGCTCCTTCTCCCTACACTGGTCCTAGTGAAGGTCTTGCTGAGCGTCGTGAGCCTGCGTCTTGTCCTACATCGCCTGTTCGTGCTTCTCGCACTAGTGGTCGCATTCCGTGTCCGCGTCCTCCTACGGTCTCAGGCACACACCAGATGGCACTGCGTCCTTCCACTGCTCCTCTGCGTGTCCCGTTGCCATCTCCTCCAGAGTCCTCTCTTCATGCTCTTGCTGACCCAGAGTCTGACTCTCTTCGTGCTGCCAGTCCTACTGTCACGCGTCTCCTGGCTACTGTTGTCATTGACCCTTCCTTTGAGTCCACTGCTGCGTTTGCTTTAGTTGCTGAGCTTGTCGACTTTGCTGCTCGCTGTCGTCTCGACTACGCCGCTAGTCTCGTTGCTGAGTCTGAGTCTGTCTATCCTATGTCCGTCGGGGGTGAGTGTGCTCTGAGCACGGACGTCTTTGAGGACAGGCAGGAGGAGTTCCAGAGTTTTGCTGCTGCTTTGCCTCATTTGGTGTCCATGCTGATTGTCCCTGAGGGAGACCCGGATGCACTAGACATCCCGACTCCTCGATCGTACGCTGAGGCGATCGAGGGTCCCTACTCTTCACAATGGCAGTTAGCCATGGACGTAGAGATGGCTTCTTGGAAGTCCACAAGCACCTACGTCGACAAGGTTCCCCCACCTAGGGCGAACATCGTCACTGGCATGTGGATTTTCAGGGTAAAGCGGCCGCCGGGTTCTCCGCCTATCTTCAAGGCGCGTTACGTGGCTCGAGGCTTCAGTCAGCGGCTAGGAGCTGACTACTTTCAGATCTTCTTTGGTGTCCTTGCTGGTTGTCCCTTAGGGAGACCCGGATGCACTAAACATCCCGACTCCTTGATCGTACGCTGAGGCAATCGAGGGTCCCTACTCTTCATAGTGGCAGTCAGCCATGGACGTAGAGATGGCTTCCTGGAAGTCCACAAGCACCTACATTGACGAGGTTGCCCCACCTAGGTCGAACATCGTCACTGGCATGTGGATCTTCAGGGTGAAGCGGCCGCCGGGTTCTCTGCCTGTCTTCAAGGCGCGTTACGTGGCTCGAGGCTTCAGTCAGCGGCACGGAGTTGACTACTTTCAGATCTTCTCTCCCACCCCGAAGATGACCACTCTTCTTGGCTGTTGCACATAGCCGCTCAGCGCGACTACGAGCTTCACTCTCTTGACTTCAGCACAGCTTTCTTGCAGGGCATCCTGCACGAGGAGATCTGGCTGCGCCGCCCACCTGGCTTCATTGGGTCGTTTCCTCCTGGTACCCAGTCGAACCTCCGTCGGCCAGTCTACGGTCTCCGCCAGGCGCCCTGTGAGTGGCACGACACACTGAGGACTACACTTGTGGCTCTTGGGTTTGCTCCCTCTCTGCCGACCCGTCGCTGTTTCTGCGCACCGACACCTCTTTGCCGCCGTTCTACATCCTCGTGTACGTCGACACTGCTGACACCGCTGGACTTGCCCACGTGAAGTCCGAGCTGCAGAAGAGACACACGTGCACAGACCTACGCGAACTGCGTAGCTACCTTGGCTTGCACATTACCCGGGACAGAGCACAGCGCACCATTACCCTGACTGAGTCACACATGGTGCAGCAGGTCCTTCAGCGCTTCGACTTCACGTACTCCTCGCCTCAGGCCACTCCTCTGTCTACTCGCCACTCGCTCTCAGCTCTGCCTTCGGATGAGTCCGTAGAGCCGAGTGGCCCGTACCCAGAGCTTGTTGGCTGCCTCATGTACCTGATGACCTGCACTCAACCTGACCTTGCATACCCTCTTAGCATCTTGGCACGCTATGTTGCTCCTGGGAGACACCGACCAGAGCACATGGCTGCAGCGAAGAGGGTGTTGCGCTACTTGTGCAGTACGTCGGGCATGGGGCTAGTGCTTGGAGGGCGTCGTTCCGTGGTCCTCCCCGGTCACGCTGACGCTTCTAGGGCTGACGACCAGGCTACGCAGCGGTCGTCACAGGGTTACACCTTCAGCCTTAGTTCCGGCTCTGTTTCGTGGCGGTCCACCCGCTCGTTTTGTGTTCTCGGCTCTAGTTGTGAGGCTGAGTTCTACGTGGGGGCCATGGCTGTACAGGAGCTACGCTGGCTCACCTACCTGCTGACCGACCTAGGAGAGCCGCCTTGTTCTCCTCCAATTTTGTACGTAGACAACAAGGCCATGCTGGCCTTGTGTTGGGAGCACAGACTGGAGCATAGAACGAAGCACATTGCTCTTCGCTACTTCCTTGCTCGTGAGCTGCAACAGCGTGGTCAGCTGCGCCTTGCTTACGTGGCCTCTGAGGCCAACACTGTTGATATCTTTACCAAGGCACTTCCGCCTTGTGATCATGAGCGCTTCTGTACGATGCTAGGTCTTGTGCCTACTTGGCCTCACTTGCTCACTTCTTGACCTTGCTTGTACTGTGATCTTTCTATATCTGCACTTGCTTGTTTACCTTTATATATGATCTTGCATGTGAACTGGCCTTGTGGCCTTGAACTTGTGCTCGAAATGTGTGGTGACGTTGTGATCCACCCTGAGCCTGCTTTGCTTTGCTTGACTGGTCTTGTGACCTCTTGTTCTCCCCCAATTTGCCTATGGGGGTGTGTCAAACTTGTATGCTATAGTCTGTGTAGGCTGTAGTGGGGTAGACAATATGGGGTACAATACTTTTAGGTTTTCCTACTTGTACCCACCTGTTTGCCAGTGCAATCATTTCTCGTTCTTCCACTCACTAGCCCCAAGCTCCCGCTGCTCAGGTCTTGCCTGTGCAGGGATTGTTATAGTTGCACCCAGCTCGCCAAGTTGGTGAGGTCTTTGGTTGAGCACCGCAAGCCCTTGCGCAAACCTAAACCATGCCTTGCGTTTGCACTCACCGCAATTGGTTTGAGTTCTGACAGGCCATAAGAAGGCAGGCCTAGCCCATGAATTTGCAGGGCGCACACCATACACGTTATTGCCATTCTTAGCAGCAACACTGCCCGAGCTGGCATAGCGGAAGAAGAGATTCATTCCCTGTCAGAATGTAATTGTATGCATTACTATAAATGCCTGTTGTGTAGACCTAGTGTAGTTATATCGTTTTCATGTTAGGTGGTGCACCCTTTTCCTTCACTATATCTTGTACAACATTCCATAGTGAAACCCCCATTTCTCTCGACTTTCTCCTCTCCAACTTGCTCGATACTCAACTCACTCGATCTACTAGCTATGGCTCCTAAGCCTTCCTAGTAACTTTTCACATTCCCGACACAGAGAGGGCCGCCTCGCTGAAGGTAAAACCCAGCGATGCCTTTGCGATCGAGGACAGGGTGCACATGGTATTCATGATGAGGACTGCTGCTAGAAGCGATGCTGAGCACATGAAACTTGTTAAATTTTGAAATTGATTGCTTGCTCTAAAGGTTTCACACCGTACCTGGAACTGGCTGGACAGGGAAATCTGCAAAAAAAAAAAAACAAAAAACAAAAAACAAAAAACAAAAAACAAAAAGAAACACACACACCCACATACACACACACACACACACACACACACACACACACACACACACACACACACACACACACACACACACACACACACACACACACACACACACACACACACACACACACACACACACACACACACACACACACACACACACACACACACACACACACACACACACACACACACACACACACACACACACACACACACACACACACACACACACACACACACACACACACACACACACACACACACACACACACACACACACACACACACACACACACACACACACACACACACACACACACACACACACACACACACACACACACACACACACACACACACACACACACACACACACACACACACACACACACACACACACACACACACACACACACACACACACACACACACACACACACACACACACACACACACACACACACACACACACACACACACACACACACACACACACACACACACACACACACACACACACACACACACACACACACACACACACACACACACACACACACACACACACACACACACACACACACACACACACACACACACACACACACACACACACACACACACACACACACACACACACACACACACACACACACACACACACACACACACACACACACACACACACACACACACACACACACACACACACACACACACACACACACACACACACACACACACACACACACACACACACACACACACACACACACACACACACACACACACACACACACACACACACACACACACACACACACACACACACACACACACACACACACACACACACACACACACACACACACACACACACACACACACACACACACACACACACCCAAAACAAATAAACAAAAAGATGAAGCGCTGAGTGTGTGTGTTTATTGTTCCAGGGAGATGCGCTTGTGCTTGCCGTCATTGAGGGGGAAGCTGGGCTTGGCTGTGACCACTGACATTACACTACCGCCGATGTTGATGCCAGCGTGGTTGCTGTCAGGGTCGCTGTTGCCTGCATCCTTGGATGTGTCAAACTCCACTGCCACGCTGCGCGCTCCCATCCCCGCATACCCCATGCCGCTCGCAGCCGGTGTTGTGGGCAGGGTCGAATCAAAGGCCACCACAACGGCAAAGCCTTCGGAGCCGGAGGCGGCTTGGCGGGTGAGAGTGAAGGAGAAGAAGGAGGAGAAGGCAAGCTGGCGGCCGCAGGTGTCCCCGATGAGCTAGTAGGAGAAGAGCGGCACGCGCTGCCAGGAACACACCTCCTTGTTTGGACGGCTGGGAAGGTGTGAGAGTGAACCTGACTGCACTCACTGAGGCGTCGCCAGTGGCTGTAAGCATGGCTCTTGTGGGCATCAAATCCTGCTCCGTTCTACCACCTGGAAGAGGGACGCACAGAGATGGAGTCACCAGGAAGTTCTAGCTCTGTAGAGAAAAGCAGTCATGAAAAAACTGTATGTTTGGAAGCAGTACAAGTGAAATAGAGCCAAGGCGTCGCATGGGGTGAAATTGAGACAATTCGCACGCGTAATTTAGGTTGCGAGTGGCTCACCTGCGACAGGTAGGCAGCTGCCAGGTAATTCCCCAACCACATAGTTCTCGTCACAGAGGCAGGTGGACGTGTTGCTGGGGCCGTCCAAGACGCAAACGCCATGGCCGTTGCAGGCGTCCACAGGGGGGGAGGATACGCCTGAGACGCCGCAAAAGGCATTGCAGACGGGGTCAGCCTTGTGAGGGCTGTCTGCACATGCAAGGCCCTGTGCTGGCTTGTCAGCAAAGTTGGCGCGGTATGTGATGTAGCCTTGCGTGCACGGTGGGGGGGACGTGAACCCTTGACTCAAGTAGTTGCAATCTAGCTTGTATGTGCTTATTGATGCTGGCAAGGGCTCAAGCACCTTCCCTGTGAGCAGATTGTTCCTCAGGTTGCTGTGGTGTAGATAGAGGTGGAAGAATGGAGAATGGAAGGATGGGGAACGGAGGGAAATGGAGGGAGATGGAGAGATGGGGGATGGAGGGATGGGAATGGAGGGATGGGGATGGAAGGTTGGGGAACCTAACGAGGAGAGCGAATGAGAAAGGTGCATGCATTCTTATCCGCATGGCTGGAGCCTGGGATGGGAGCACAATGGAAAGAAGAAAGCAATCACATTGTTGGACGCATGAAAGGACAACTGAGCTGGGGCCGTATGACAGACTCACAGCGTTTGTAGGCTGCCAAGACTAGCGAGACCTTGCGGTATGGTGCCAGTGAGGCGGTTGTTGCTCAGGTCCCTGGATGTAACGAGAAAAGAGGGAGGTGAAGCCTGAGGAATGGAAGGAGGAAAGCACGAGTGGTATGCCTTATGAAGCAGGAGTGACATGGGCTCTAAGCTACTGGATGGGCCCATCTTGACTCAGCCTGCACAGCCGGTTGACATGGCGACCCGAGCCTCAATTCGAACTCGTGGTGCCGACTCGTCAAAAAGCAATCCGTGCAAGGGCTTGTCGCAAGGGGCGGCTCACCGCACTAGTCACAAAGAGGCACGGGTGGGGTGCAGGAGGAGGGGGGGAACAACTAGTAATGAAGAAGCAGAGGCTCACAGCAGTGTGAGATAGACCAAGCCGGAGATGTCGTCCGGTATCGTGCCAGACAGCTGGTTGAAGCTTATGTCGCTGGGGGAAGAGAAGAGACAAATGGCACGCACATACAGAGGCTATTGAACAGCTGACCAACCACAATGGAATTCAGGCAAGGAGGCAGCAGTGGGAGATGAGAGGGAAGCTAAGAAACAGATCGGAAGGGGGTGGGGGAGGTGGGGAAGAAAGGGGCAAATGAGATGCAGAGAGGAATGCACACGGGATGCATTCTTTGGTTTAGGGCGATGTGTGCATGGGCTGGTGCAGGCACGGGCAGGAGCAGGGAGCCACGGAATCCCAGACGGCCCTACAGATAGACATGGCATGGCAATGCAGTGAGGCATGGGGATGCAGTGAGGCATGGCGATGAAGTGAGGCATGGCGATGCAGTGAGGCATGGCGATGCAGTGAGGCATGGCGATGCAGTGAGGCATGGCGATGTAGTGAGGCATGGCGATGCAGTGGGGCATGGCGATGCAGTGAGGCATGGGGATGCAGTGAGGCATGGCGATGCAGTGAGGCATGGCGATGCAGTGAGGCATGGGGATGCAGTGAGGCATGGGGATGCAGTGAGGCATGGGGATGCAGTGAGGCATGGCGATGTAGTGAGGCATGGTGATGCAGTGAGGCATGGTGATGCAGTGAGGCATGGTGATGCAGTGAGGCATGGTGATGCAGTGAGGCATGGTGATGCAGTGAGGCATGGTGATGCATTGAGGCATGGTGATGCATTGAGGCAAGCCGTCAGACGTGCTGCGTGATGGTGGTGTAGTACGACCCTACCACTCTACCACCTTCACCCAGCAGGAAACACAAATTTATGTTGGCAGTGGTGTGTGAACAGCATTAAGGACTGGTATCAAGCATGGGTTTGGTCAAGCATGCGCAGGAAACAAGCACAACCATTTCAATTCAACGAGCACAACTAAAGAGAAGAGTTCTGCCCAGCTCGGTTCAGTGGCTTTCATGTGTTGTGGTGTCTCATCCAGGCTTAGCTGGAAATGAATCAGCTGATGTTGTGCTCATGTCTAGATCAAGTCTACATTTGATGAGACAACTTGGCTTGACTGAAAATAAGCTGATTTCAACCAGTCGAGCTGACCAGCTGGCTCGTGCTGCTGGCTCATGCTGCTGGCTCATGCTGCTGGTGATTCGATGCGGCATGCCCAAGGCCAGGGTTATGGTGCGCTAGCTGTGCGGTATGTCCAGAGACATAACAGACGTAACCCAGTCGAGGTTTCACACAAAAGCACACACGCATGCCCTAAGTAATGAGAGACGAAAAGAGAACAAAAGACAAACAGCTCATAAATATTAGTTGCCGTCCACTGCGGTGGAAGGGGGCCACTGAGCTCGTTGTGTTGTAAATTACTGGGGAAAAATATGCAGCGAGAGTAGGGTAGAGAGGGGGCGAGCACGTAGGAGAAAATGTTTCAAAAAGGAGGGAAATGTGAGTAGGCAAGACATGTGGGGAAGCAATGGGCATACTGATGATGCAGCTATGCAGGGCGTGGCTGGGAGGCCATCGAGAGGCAAACCTATATGAGAAGAAGTGACCCTATTGATGGAAGGATTTCAGCACATAGCAAGCAGGATCGCACGGGCTTTAAGGGCGAGCGCCAAACTAGTAAAACTGATTGGACAACAAGAGGAGCGTCTGAATCTGCAGAATGCATTCCATCAATCTCACACCTTTTGGCCGATCTGGGTAACACACAGGTCAATCACGTAAGCACAGTATGCACTTTCTCTGTCTATTTGTTCTAAAAGTTTGGCTTCAGACTACACCAGACAAATTTTGAATGAGCAGGAGGGTTGGGCTTAAAACAAGGATGAGTGATGAGTGGCACACATATTGGTGATTCACAAGTGCAACAAGGTACGTGAGGGTACGTGACAAGCATGCAATCATCCTCCACTAATGTGGCTCCTTTCTTAAATTCAATGTGTGCGCTACAGAATGCCATGAGAACAAAACACTTTTATAGGAATGCCCATGCACCATGTCCCATGCATGCACCATGTCCCATGCATGCACCATGTCCCATGCATGCACCGTGTCCCATGCATGCACCACGTCCCATGCATGCACCGTGTCCCATGCATGCACCGTGTCCCATACATGCACCGTGTCCCATGCATGCACCGTGTCCCATGCATGCACCGTGTCCCATGCATGCACCGTGTCCCATGCATGCACCACGTCCCATGCATGCACCACGTCCCATCTCATCCAACCCATAACCCACAGACCAAACACACACCAGATGCCCATGCCTTAAGTTCACAGTGCACGCCCATGCTGTTTATGATTCATCTGCCCATGTCTCACAGCACGCCTAGTTGGTCAAGAGCGGCCAGGCTGGTAGGGATTGTCCCACTCAGCTTGTTTTCCTGCAACTCACGGCCGTGCCAGGCAAGGGGTGCAGGGGCAGGGGGAGAGGACAGGTGCAGAAGGCGAGGGGGAAAAGAAGGGAAGGGCAGGAGGGGAGATGGAGGGATGGAAGGGTAGAACGGTAGGAAGATCAGGTTTGATTGAGAAGGAACGGCAGGCGGCAGATAATCGTTTGTGCACTCGCGAGGGCACACGTGCAGCAGACGGAGGGAGTGATGTAGCGCCTTCCCTCTCCTGGCCTGCCACTTTCTCCAAGAAAGTGGCAGGCCAAGATGCACTTTTGCACGCCCACATGCACGCCCACATGCGGCAGTAGTCATTAGGTGAATGACCGAGCCTAGGCTAGCCTGTGTGCAGAAAGTCTCGACACATGAGGCATGACAATGGGTAGGGCCGGGCCGATTGTAGGAATGGCCGTGCTTCTTCAAGGTTCTTCCGTCCTATAGTCCTAGTGCACTACCCTGCTCAGACGCTTGTTGGCTTGGCGTTCATTAACTTGCTTGTAAGGTTGAAATATTACGCTTGCATAGCCTTAAACAAATGTTTGTTCACAGCTAGTTGGTATTTTTTGCCTTCTTGGTTGGACACGACACGGTCAGGGGATGTGCAGACAAATCATTAGGGGGGCATGGCCAAGGACTGAGGGGGAGCGAGAAATGTTATTAAGACAGTAAAGATTTGAATTTCCAAGTTTCAACAAAACATTGGCTTGAAAGCGATGCATGCAACTCAGCTGAACTACAACGGTGCCAGGCCCGGTCTGAGCCACGAGACCTCCCTATTGGGCCCAGGCCAGCTCCTCACATGGCCCTACACTCATGTCATGTCTATGGCTCCTGCTCACCAAATGGATGCGTGACTGCAAGAGGCTCACATGTTATTGAGACTAGTCGTTTTTGTTAGAGTGGAAGGCAGGGAACCCGATATGGGGTTGTTGTAAGCACGCCTGGGGTGATGAGATGCGATGTGATGCGATTCGATGCGATGTGGCACGGCAGCAAAGCAAGAAGAAAAGCTGGGGTTTGGAAGGAAGAATAAACACAGGGCGAGAGAAGAATGGGGATGCAATTTTTATAGTTAGGATGCATGGCTGGGATCTGGATGGGTTCACAGAGAGCGTTACAAATCGTGGAGGAGGGGGGCAAGGAGAGGAGGAGGAACAGAGTGGGGCCATAAGAAGAGGAACTCACAAAAACCATAGTTTGGAGACACTTCCGAGATCATCTGGTAGAGGTCCCGTAATCAAGTTGTTCTGAAGCTCAATGATTGGTGAGGTGATGGCGGTTTCAGAAAGGAATCAGGTTGTTTCCGACGAGACCAGCCTTGCATGCGTGTAGTGGTCGAAATGGACATGGGAGGAAGCACCGCATTGATAGACATGAGCAACGCATTAATAGACTCGCGTCGACTGGCGAAAATCGAGCGCAGCTCAAGACAAGTATGAGTCGAGCCTTGCTTTGTATTGCGCCTCGACACCACCAGAGCAGCAGCAGCCGGCTCGAGCCTGCTAAATCAGCGGTGTGTTTTGATTTGACCCAAACCACGGGTCGATGAGCAGCCCGTGACTCACAAGGTTCAACTGTTTGTCAAATGTTCAACTGTTCGTCAAATGTTCAGCTGCTATACCACTTTCAATAGTGGCGTCCTTCTCAGTTGTTTGTGCATAACGCTCTTTTGATTTCACTGTAAAAGGTTCTGGT